GTTATTAATGGTTCACAATCCTGCTGGAAAGGTATAACAAGTGAGGTTCTGCAGGGGTCTGTTTTGGGACTGGCTCTGTTCAATATCTTCATCAATTATTTAGATATTGGCATAGAAAGTACGCTTATTAAGTTTGCAGATGATACCAAGCTGGGAGAGATGCGACTGCTCTGGAGGATAGGGTCATAATTCAAAATTATCTGGACAAATTGGAGAAATGGTTTGAGGTAAACAGGATGAAGTTTAATAAAAACAAATGTAAAGTGCTCCACTTAGGAAGGAACAATCAGTTTCACACATACAGAATGGGAAGCAACTGTCTAGGAAGGAGTACGGCAGAAAGGGATCTAAGGGTTATAGTGGACCACAAGCTGAATATGAGTCAGCAGTGTGATGCTGTTGCAAAAAAAGCAAACATGATTCTGGGATGCATTAACAGGTGTGTTGTGAGAAAGACACGCGAAGTCATTCTTCCGCTCTACTCTGTGCTGGTTAGGCCTCAGTTGGAGTCTTGTGTCCAGTTCTGGGCAATGCCTTTCAAGAAAGATGTGGTGAAATTGAAGAGGGTCCAGAGGTGAGCAACAAGAATGATTAAAGGTCTAGAGAACATGACCTATGAAGGAAGGCTGAAAGAATTGGATTTGTTTAGTTTAGAAGAGAGAAGACTGAGGGGGGACATGATAGCCGTTTTCAGGTATCTAAAAGGGTGTCATAAGGAGGAGGGAGAAAATTTGTTCATCTTGGCCTCTGAGGATAGAACAAGAAGCAATGGGCTTAAACTACAGCAAGGAAGGTTTAGGTTGGACATTACTAACTGTGAGGGTAGTTAAACACTGGAATAAATTGCCCAGGGAGGTTGTGGAATCTCTATCTGTGGAGATATTTAAGAGTAGGTTAGATAAATGTCTATCAGGGATGGTCTAGACATTATTTGGTCCTGCCATGGGGGCAGGGGACTGGACTCGATGACCTCTCAAGGTCCATTCCAGTCCTAGTATTCTATGATTCTATGATTCCTTCTGTGCTTGGATCTGGGGGAGGATAGACAATACCCATTCCTCCTTGGAAAATGCTTTGTGAAAAAAGTGTACAAACACATGTTTTTAATTCTTTACTGCTGAAAATAGCACATGCCTGCCTAACTTGTATAAGTATCATGTACCTAATAGCTAGTACTACCTAACACGTACCTTCTTGTATGCTGTTCTGCAGGTGGTTGACGATAGCTGCTAGGATAGTAGACAGACTCATCACCTGTGCACATTGTGCTAGGCCTAAGGTAAACAGTTCATTCCAGCAGGCACGAACTAGGCTTGTGTTACAGTCCTGTCTAAAAAGACACAAATCAAACAAACAATTCTAGCAAGTATTAAACTCATGTTGGTATTATCTTATATGTATAAATTAGGGTTATAATAATGATAGTATTTTGGGCACCTCTGTGACAGGAAGATACTGACAAATTACAGGAATTAAAATATAACTGCAACAGAAGTGTTTAGGGGTGGTTGTCCTGGCTATGAGAAATTATTAAAGATGATCTACAAAATGGAGATCCTGCTACTTCGAGTTGTCAAGTTGTATGTCCAAAAAACCGGCACTAGCTTTTGACTCAGTTTTTCAGTACAGCCTCATTGACTACAGGCAGTCCCCGGGTTACGTACAAGATAGGGACTGTAGGTTTGTTCTTAAGTTGAATCTGTATGTAAGTCGGAACTGGCGTCCAGATTCAGCCGCTGCTGAAACTGATCAGCTTCAACAGTGGCTGAATCTGGGCGCCAGTTCTGACTTACATACAAATTCAACTTAAGAACCCCAGGCATCCCCAAGTCAGCTGCTGCTGAAACTGATCAGCGGCTGATTCCAGGAAGCCCGGGGCAGGGGCTTCCTGTACTGGGGAAACCAGGTAGCCCCTAGATCTGCACTCTGACTTTTGCAGAGTTGGTGATTGCTGTTCTGCAGGAGAAGCAAAGAATCCCACCAGGATAACACTTTGTTTTCAGTAAAAGAAGGGAATCTCTTGTAACTGAAGTAAGAAGTGGGTCAGTGTATAAATCAAAAGGTATAAATAGTTGGGGTCCAATATGTATATTAACATGGCAATTGCAAGGAGTCAGCTGTCTTCTAAACTAGCCAAACAGCAATGCTTCCGACCCCAACCATAACTTTCTGCTGCCAGGGGGGAGGTGTTGAGTATTTTTGGTTAAACCATCTGGCAACCCTACTTGTTAACAGAAGTTTTTGTTGTTATAGTTATACCCTGTTATATTTCTCTTACAGTTGGGAACACAGTTTGCATTCTGCTTGCTTTTCCAACTTTGGTATGAAAATGGATCTGATTGCTATAGGTTGCAAGTTTGCGGTATCACATCAGGGCCAAGCCTGCTTGCTCAACTGATAAGGCAGAGCCATGATTTGTGAATACAGGCAGTCCCTGAGTTACGCGGATCCGACTTACGTTGGATCCGCAGTTACGAACGGGGCACTTCCTCTCTCTGGTCTCGAGCAGACCAGGGAGAGGAAGCAAAGCGGCGGCTGAACGCGCGGCCAGCTGACAGCCCAGACGCGTCTGGGCTGTCAGCTGGCCGCGCGTTCAGCCGCCGCTTTGCTTCCTCTCCCTGGTCTGCTCGAGACCAGAGAGAGGAAGTGCCCCGTTCGTAACTGCGGATCCAACATAAGTCGGATCCGCGTAACTCGGGGACTGCCTGTGCTGTAATGCTAAGTATTATCATAATCAGTCATCTTGTTTTTCATATTCTTCAAAATGTAGAAAAGTGCTATGTGTAGTCTCTACATTTTAAACCATTAAGTATAAATGAATTAACTTCAAACCAATACAGTTGGAAAATGTTCAGCTTAAAACTTAAGTAATTATTCAGTAGAAAAATATTCACTTACCCAAGAGCTTGAAAAGCAGGGATGGATCTAGCCCAGTGCATTGAGAGGAAAAGCAGACGTGAAGCTGACTCACAGATGTAGTGCACATTAAGGTACTCTGGCATTGGACTAGGCATTGTTAGCTATACAGAAATAAGAGTACAGTATAGTCTGTACAGGTCAGACATAAATGTTTATTATCAATTAAATAAACTTGAATAAAACATGCAATCTGCCTTCAGAGTCTTTTGCTGAAAGTTGTCATTTATGATTGAGTTAGATTAGTAAAACTTCAGCACATAACTCATTAGCACTGGTAAGAAGTACAGGCTTAAAAGGGGGAGGTATAAAAGTAGGAGAAATATGGGAAGCTGAATGAGATGATTACTTTAAAAGTACTTTTTATTATTCATGCAACAACACATATCCCTGAATTGTCACTGCTGTATGCAGCATTATTACCTTTACAATTACTATAAAAATGATGAGAATCATATCTAAATACAACTTTTTAAAATTACAAATTATTTAAAATCAATACTATTCTGGCAAAGCCATGCCATATGAATGAATCTTCACTTGCAAAAAACACCGGTTACCTGATATGCACAGAATAGGTTTCCTATATATTGTTTACTTCACTGTCTTGATGATATTTATCTGCTTAAAGGAAATGCACTTGGACAACACAAAGAAACATCCTTATTGATTTCTCTTATAGAATATAGCTAAAAGATGTGGTTGCTCAAAGTCACTTGAAGATACAGCAGCTTCAAAGTGCAATCTCTTCTGCAATTCCACATCAGTTCCCCAAACCACGACCATAAAAATATAGCAATAATTCTTTGAAAATGGCCCAAATTTTCTATATCCATGATGTGAGGGTGCCTCAAACAGCCAAAGTTAAGAGTTCAACATTTTTAGTAACAATGTGTATGAATTTACACATTTGGTATTATTGATTTGTTGTATTTAACACTAAGAGTAATTCCCAGAAGAATTATATGTAAAATGTAAATCTAAACCAAAAATTACTCCACTGTCAATTGAAATGTCTCAATGAGAGGGCATCTGCAGGGCTCCAGGATACAGAGTGCAAGGGAAATGTGGGGTGTTTTTATGTCTTTAACAACAATAGCTAGTATGCTAGATAATACTGATTACAGCAAAATATAATTATAGAAGAAAAAACACGTTACTAAAATTCCATGTTATGTCTTTTCCAAAAATATATTTCAGGAAGGACCCACCTTAAATGTGACATGTGTATCTGTAAGTAGGGGTCCTTCCACTTCAATGATTGGTGTTGACTGATCTCTGCTGATTACATGAATATTCCCTCCTCCTGTAGGATCCATCCCATCTGCCAAGTTCTGAGCTACTGTGCCATCAGTGGTATTAAGTGCTTTAGCCAAAGTATCAAATGCCCTTTAAATAAATGAATAAACAATACAAGTGTTTTTTCTTATATCTATTAACACATTTGGAGTTCAGGGCAAATCAAATACTGCAAGTTTTTCCATCTAGAAGATGTTCTCCCCAGCATATGCCCTGCATCAGCTGCTCTTTCTTATTTCAGCAACCGTGTCTCCTGCACTGGTTACCCACCTTCCTCTCTCTTACCTTGGGGCTTCATTACAAGGATCTTACTCTGGCATACGGTCACTTAGACTAGGTCTACTACACTATTGGGTTTTATTGGAAAAAGCTATGCAAATTGCGCTTTGCAATTTGCGTAGCTTTTTCCGATTGTTTTTCCGGAAGAGGCTTTTCTGCCATTTGGCCCCATCTAGACAGGGCCAAATGACAAAAAAGCCTCCTCTTTCGGAGGAACCCTTATTCCTTGTGAAATGAGGAATACAGGGCTCCCTGAAAGAGCTCATTTGCTCTTCTGCAAAAAAAAAAAAAAAAAAAAAAAAACGGGAAGAGCAAACACGTTTCCTGGATGTGGTGGGGGTTTTGTGGGATAGGTATCCTGGAAACCCCCCACAGTGTAGACATAGCCTTAGGGATGTTATTGGAATGGCATACATTTTAGCCTCTAGGTGTCTTTCTAACTAAAACTGCAGCTAGGCCAGTGCAAAATCAGGAAAACATAACTAGCTTCTTGAGACTGCCTACAACTCCTCTCCCATAAAGACGAGAGCTCAAAATCAGAGGAGAACTGAGACCATTTCAGACTCATATTATGTTATTTCATAATGCTATTAAGCAACTATTTCCCAAGCAATCTGTTTCCTTGTTATCTATTCCTTGGGACCAAGATTTAAAAGTATAAAGCTAGTATCAGCAGAAGCAGCTGGGTGATCTGCATTTTTAAAAATTAGTTTATTTAGTATCCTAAATGTAACTTCTATTTTTAAAAATCTTATCCTGGGAACCTATATGGAAAAGATGGGATAGGATTGCTTTAAAATCTGGTGTTTTTCCTGTTTTGATACATTAGCATTACATATTACAGTACCATTTTTAAAAAAAAACAGAGTAAAAAACAAATGGAGCATTTACTTCCCTGTTTCCTGATTTTGAAATAAACAAAAGAGATTGAGATAATAACTTTGGAGAGCTGGGGTTCAAATTCTGCCTTGGATTGCCGTAAAAGACAAGGTTTGATGATCTCGACATAATCCAAATTGTTTCCACATTGTCAGCCTCATCTTCGGAAAAATTTAAGAGTAAATTAGGAGACATTAAAGGTCAGGACTGAGCGTTCATGACAATTGTGTGGGAGATGCTTGCTGCCTATACTATGCTTGTCACAGCACTGTTGTTACCATTTTCTTTCTTTCACAAACACTAAACACACACAATCAAAGAAAAAAATTGAAGTAATATAAAATCATTACTAATTTTCACCAATTTTTAAGGAAAAGTTTTTTTGCTGTCACAAACTAGTTTTTATTTCATGTAACTTATTAAATATGAAATACAGCTCTGCCTTATTATGCTGCATTTGTACCAAACAGGAGAGAGCATTTGTAACAGTAATATAAATGAAAAGAGTTCTTCAGAATGGCAGAAATTCAGGTTGAAGGCAGAAGCCAAACATGGAGGGCTCGTCTACATTGGCCCCTTTTCCGGAAGGGGCATGTTAATTTCAGAGATCGCAATAGGGAAATCCGCGGGGGATTTAAATATCCCCCGCGGCATTTAAATAAAAATGTCCGCTGCTTTTTTCCGGCTTTTAGAAAAGCCGGAAAAAAGCGTCTACACTGGCCCCGATCCTCTGGAAAAAGCGCCCTTTTCCAGAGGATCTTATTCCTACTTCAAAGGAATAAGATCCTCCGAAAAAGGGCGCTTTTTCCGGAGGATCGGGGCCAGTGTAGACGCTCTTTTCCGGCTTTTCTAAAAGCCGGAAAAAAGCGGCGGACATTTTTATTTAAATGCCGCGGGGGATATTTAAATCCCCTGCGGATTTCCCTATTGCAATCTCTGAAATTAACATGCCCCTTCTGGAAAAGGGGCCAGTGTAGACGTAGCCGGAATGTTAATGCAATTATACAGTGAGTTGAAAAAGGTCATTACTATTGTAATGCAAACCTACAAAAGTATAGGTATGCCTTCTAAATTAGCTGCCAATATAAATTCATACCGAGTGATCTCACTTGCAGATTGATCCTCTTGCTGGATTTCAGAAGTATCTCCATTATTAAGTGACTCAGTGAGGTTGGCAAGGGATGTTACAACATTTGCCAGTGTTCCTAAAGCACCCTGACTTGTCTCAGCCTACAAAGAAAAAAGTCATATTAATTGATCAAAATTATTCATGGCCTCTTGATACCTATTAAATCCTCTGTATCCCCTTCCTCTGCTCCCACATAGGTTTCACTTCCTTATGACTATCCACAGTAAAGGACAGTGGTTGACATTTGGATAAGGATGATCATTAAATTCTCAAAAATCTTCCCTCCTGACTTCTGGTGTGTTTTTTTGTGATGGATCAATACAGGATTATCAACATAAATTCATTCATAATTATATCTGGGGGGGAAAAAAGTATGTCTCCCTGAATCAGATAAGTTAAAGATGGAAAAGATTTTCTAGATTATCCATTCCAACTTTCCCAAAATATAGGATTTGCTGCAGAGCACTATGGTATTATTGTCTCAAACTACATGTTACAGAAATGATGGAACAGGGCTTCCCATTCCACGTTCCACCTCAGGGTGGGGATCTCTCCATTTTCTAATGTCTTCTACCTTTCAACTGAGGTAAGAACCTTTGTGACTGCAAATGGGTCATAAGGATTTCCTTCTAAAAACACAGCCAAAATAATTTAGTAAATGTAAGATTTGAAATGAAATGAAAAGAATATTACCTTGGAGTCTGTAGCTAGCAGGACTGTACCATCATCTCGTATCAATGGCTGCTGAATATTCACAAGCATCCCTGGATCAAGAAGTCCTGTTGACCTATTCAAAAATGTAAAGAATCTAAGAGTGAATAATATAAAAATAATTAAAAATACATAGTAATTTATTTCAGTTCAGTATAATGAGGTAATCATCAGCCTTACCGGGCTTTTAATCTTGTGAGGTTGAGAATTTATCCCTCCCACTGAAAATCTATTTCCAAAAAATAGTTCATATCTTGGAAGAAACTGCGCTTTCAGGAATAAGGGATCCTCCAGAAAAGGGCTTATTTTCCGGAAAATCGCGTCTAGACTGGCGCTTTTCTCCCGCAAAAACCCCGAGCCGGAAAAAAGCGGCAGCCATGGAAATGCAAATGCCACAGGGAGTATTTAAATCCCCCGCGGATTTGCAATTCCGAAGTGTCTCATTAGCATCCCTTTTCCGGAAAGGGATGCCAATGTAGACACAGCCAATGTGTTTGACCTATTTATTAGACACTCATGCACAATACAAATGTAAGGATTTTGCAACAAACTTTCAAAGTAGTCTCCAGTCTAGCTTCCCAAACTGCCATGGCATTTTAAGTCATAACATGTGTGTATCAGATATCCAGACTCATAAATGCCTAAATTCTTTGTGCAAATACTACCTGCACATATAATTGAGCTCCTGAACACACAAAAACTTGTACTGGAAAAAACTGCCTAAAATTGTGCCTACTTTTGAAAACATGGTCTTTAAGCTACATTGCTATTTTCTATCTATGTTAAGATATTATATAGTATTCATTACTATTGTATCCAAATGTATTTTCATGCCTATTTGTTTGGAAATATCTGAACCCTCAACGAGTCCATTGTTTATAAATTTGACTCCACAAGAGCTCTAACGCGAAGGCATCTTAAACAAACCCATTTTAAAACTAAAAACTTACCGGGCCCCATCTTTATCTGCTACAAATGTTGGAGTGGCTATAAGAGGGCTTCTTAGGTCTTTCCTGATGTAGATTTTTTCAGTTGAAGCTGCACAGTTGGTTGGTTTCTCCCGTTGCACATCAAAAGGCTTTCTTTCACTCTGAACAGATTTGAAGGGAAGTAATTCATCCAAAAACTAAAATAAAGGAAAATCTTAAAGCAGGATTTCAGTTTGCATTAAATGTATTGGCTCTTTTCAGATCAATGCAATATTGGAAATTCAGTATGATAACTGAAGACACGTAGGCCCCAGTCTTCCAATGCACTTAATCACATGTTCATTCATATTCTTAAGTGTTTTGCGGGATTAGGGTTAGAGCTTCCTATTGCATTGCATTTTAACACAGTAAGTATTCTGGAAGACACATTTTCACACTATATTTTCTGAGGAAAGAAATATATACATTTTAGGACCAATGATATTTCTTGAACATTTTATAAAAAAAATAATTGTTAAAACTTAAGATTCATGATAGGGCAGGCAGGCTAAGAGGGACTATTGACACTGCTATATGGTAGAAGAGTGTTCAATGTCCAGGCACAATGGATATGTGAATGTCTGGCCAGTGAAGAAGGGCTAGTGGGTTCCTAAATACATCTCTGAGGGACCAAAAATATCTCTAGTTTTAAAGTGTAGGAAAAAAAGGCTTACTATTCAAGGTTCTAAAAGTAATATGGATGAATCTCAAGCAAAACAATCAGAAAACAACAATGTGATTTTAAAGAAAATGAAATTGATACTGCTGTAATATTGCATCATTATAGTTGAGTGGACTATGCATGGGATTGGCAGCCAGGAACTTGTGCCATTAATTTGTGGTGTGACTTTGCGCAAGTCATTTAACTACATGATATTCACTTGAAAAAATGTCTCACCTGAAAATTGGGATATTAAAACTGATATTCTTTGCCTGTGATTCCCTGTGCTCCAGAGATCCCAGATGGTTTAAGAGCCCCTTTAGGACTGTTGATAGGGAGAGAAATTCAGAGCATTTTCAAGCTTAATTTACACGGAGGGGGAGACTGGCACACAGCTAGCCCAGGATCAAGAAAACATAATGATGTCTTTGCATCTTCCTCTTACGTGGCATTATGGCATTATTCTTTCTTGACAGCCTCGACTCCAGGTTCTTTACAGTTAAATCATATTTATGATAAAATAATCCCAGACTTGTAAAGAAGGTATTGGAATAATATCTGCAATGATTATCAAACTTATTTTTTTTGTCTTTTCATTTAACAAAACGAATCTGGAATAAGTACAGTGTTACACAGTAGTGTGCCACTAAGGCAGAGAACACTGCATACCCACTTCACAGAACATAACAAGCCTTATTTAATGGGAAATCTGCAAAAAATGGGATTCATGGTACGTAACAGGAGAAATAAAGCCCCAAATCTGACAGCAAAACAAATCTATCCATACACAAGAAAAAACTTAAAAAACAACAAATAGTCCTGCAGTGCCTCAAGGTATGTCTACACTACCACCCCAGTTCGAACTAGGGTGGTTAATGTAGTCAACCGAAGTTGCAAATGAAGCCCGGGATTTAAATATCCCGGGCTTCATTTGCATCTTTCCGGGCGCCGCCATTTTTAAAGCCCCGGTAGTTCGAACTCCGTGCCCGGAGTATTTAAATCCCGGGCTTCATTTGCAAGGCCTGGAAGATTCCTTCTACTAGCCCTCTCACAACACTTTTGCTGTCCCTGGGGTACGTCTACACAGCAGGGCTAAAGCTGAAATAAGCTATACAACTTGAGCTATGTCAATTGTGTAGCTTAAATCGAAATAACTTATTTCCGCTTTTGGCATGTCTACACAATAGGAAGTCAGAGAAAGAGTACTCTTTCTCCCACTTCTCCTACTCCTTGTAAAATGAGGGTTACAAATAAAAAAAGGAGCATAATTGATTTATAAGGGAGACATTTAAAATGACTACATATCAAATACTGTCAAAACTAAATGGACTGATTTTGAGTAAATGCTCCTTTTCTCATGAAAAATGTACTATTTCTCTACCAAAGTTTACTGTAATTTATTTTAGTTACTAGTTTAAACTCTTTTTGCCCCCAAAGCTTGAGGACACTGATCTATAAACGATATAATGATACAGAAGTTATACCAAAGCAAGGTCACAGAGTTTAAGAAAGGACCGCTACATCATCTAGTCTGACCTCCTATATATATGAGGCCAGCAACACCACCCAACATCCACACACTAAACTCAACATCCGAAGCTAAGCCAAAACATTACAACCCACAGGAAACTACACAAATATGTGCCACAGGCGGAGAACAGGAGTGTCATTCTCTATTACAAACACTGTACTTGTAAAATGCACTATAAATGAGGCTTCATCTGTCTTCTCAGTGTATGTGTTAAGAGACCAAGTTCAAAATTCATCACTGTAGCTTGAACTTCCTATACAAAACTGAACCAAGTAACAGGCTTAGAAAAGGTAAATATTTTAGATGACAAAAATTTCGTAATACTTGATTTGATACTTCTTGATTTGTATTCAAGGGAGCATTGCAGATGTCGTAGAACTTGGTGTTTCACATATATGGAGATCAAAAACTGAAAATATATTTAAGAGTACTGGTAGTCTACATATTTATTATTTGGTAGACATAACATCAGTTTGAGAAATGAACACTTACATTCCATTTTCATGCCCATCTCTAGGCACTTCTTAAGCCTACAAAACTGGCAACGGTTCCGATGATGTTTATTGATGATACAATCTTGGTTGCTACGACAACTGTAGGTCAAATTCTTCCTTACACTTCTTTTAAAAAAACCTTTGCATCCCTCGCAACTGACAGCACCATAGTGGCGACCTAAAGGAAAAGGAAATGCATGTACAACTTTGTTACCATAAGGGAATGATGTATATCTTTCATACCAAAATTTTATGTATAGCAGGCAGAGCCTATTGACAAATCATAACTTAGAATTGTTTTAGATTCCTGTTTTTTTCCCGCCTATTTGCAGGCACTGATGGTGAAATCACTATTCTAGTTTGATGTCACAGTTTTGTGTGTTTTTTTCCTCTGGAAATTGTTCAGAATCAGCCCATTTCTCACCATCCTCAAAGGGTATGTATAATGGCACTATCTGCTCTAACTCAAGACTAATGCTTCCTATTGGAGTTAATCAGTAGAGCTACATAATTGCTAATGGAGTCACATTCATGGATACAAAATATATGAAGGTTGTTACATGCAAAACAATATTGAAAGAACACTGAAGCTGCAAGTCAACCACTCAAAACAAAAGAAATTCCAAAAATGAACATTGTCCCTGCAACATTAATTCTGAGCCCTAGACTTTAATTATATGAGCACATACTACTTTTCCTTTATCCATAGGACCCCAGCTTATTTAATGCACTGGATGGATAGAAAGGGCTCACTGAGTAAACTCCCTTCACACTGTACTCTCAGTTCAAGCTAGCCTAGGAATAAAAAAAAAGCATTGGATGCCAAACTAACTCTTAGGGACATGAATGGGATCTGTGCAGTCATGCCCAATGGTTGGAACCAGGGAGGTAGCCAGGCCTGGAGATTAGAGTGGAACCAAGCTAGAGTCTAGGATCTGGACTACAGGATATATACGGGGCGTAGTTATGAGTAGAACTGAGAGTCAGAACCAGGGATCAAAAGAAGAATTCTAGAGCTGATGGGTGAGCCAGAAATGTGGTCAAGAAGCAGAGCCTGGAGTGCCAAAATGAATAAGGCAGGGACTGAAGCATTCATGAGAATAGGCTGGGAAGGAAGTAGGAGCATGCACAGCTATGGACATGGAGCATCCAACCAGTTCTGTTGCTGGGTTTAATAACAGGTAGTTCCTCCTCTCCACCAATCAGGAAGTGCAATTAATCATGCAGTTCCCTTCTCCCCAGCATGGTTACATGAAGGGGAAAGGAGTCCAGGAGAGCTGGCAGTATTTTAAAGAAGCCTTATTAAAGGCACAGGAAGAAACCATCCCGATGCGCAGCAAGAAAATCAAATAGGGTAGGTGATCAGATTGGCTTACCGGGGATATCCTTGGTGAGCTTAAACACAAAAAGGAAGCTTACAAGAAGTGGAAACCTAGACGGATAACTAGGGAGGAGTATAAATATATTGCTCGAGAATGCAGAGGACTTATCAGGAAGGCGAAAGCGCAATTGGAACTGGAGCTAACAAGGGATGTGAAGGATAACAAGAAAGGTTTCTACAGGTATGCTAGCAATAAGAAGGTGTGGGGCCCTTATTGGATGAGGGAGGTAACCTAGTGACAGATGATGTGGGAAAAGCTGAAGTACTCAATGCTTTCCTTGCCTCCGTCTTCATGGACAAGGTCAGCTCCCAGACAAATGCACTAGGCAACACGTACGGGAAGGAGATGGACAGCCCTTGGTGGGGAAAGAACAAGTTAGGAACTATATTAGAAAAGCTAAACATATACAAATCCCGGATTTAATGCATCTGAGGGTATTGAGGGAATTAGCAAATGTCACTGCAGAGCCTTTGGCCATTATCTTTGAAAACTCGTGGAGATTGGGAGAGATCCCGGATAATTGGAAAAAGGCAAGTGTAGTGCCCATCTTTAAAAAAGGGAAGAAGGACAATTCATGGAACTACCCACAGTCAGCCTTACCTCAGTCCCTAGAAAAATCATGGAGGGGATCCTCAAGGAATCCATTATGAAGCACTTGGAAGAGGGAAAAGTAATCAGGAATAGTCAACATGAATTCACAAAGGGCAAGTCGTGCCTGACCAATCTGATTAGCTTCTGTGATGAGGTAATTGACTCTGTGGATATGGGAAAGTCAGTGGATGTGATATACCTTGACTTTAGCAAAGCTTTTGATACGGCCTCCCACAATATTCTTGCCATCAAGTTAACTGAATATGGATTGGATAAATGGACTGTAAGATGGATAGAAAGCTGGCTAGACTGTCAGGCCCAATGGGTAGTGATCAATGGCTTAATGTCAGGTTGGTGGTTGGCTTCTAGTGGAGTGCCCCAAGGATCTGTTCTAGGACCAGTTTTGTTCAACATCTTTATTAATGACCTGGATGAGGGGATGGATTGCACCCTCAGCAAGTTTGCAGATGACACTAAGCTAGGGGAAGAGGTAGATACACTGGAGGGCAGAGATAGGGTCCAGAGTGACCTGGACAGATTAGAGGATTGGGCCAAAAGAAATCTGACGAGGTTCAACAAGGACAAGTGTAGAGTCCTGCACTTAGGACAGAAGAATCCTAAGCATTGTTACAGGCTGGAAACCGAATGACTAAGCAGCAGTTCTGCAGAAAAGGACCTGGGGATTACAGTAGATGAGAAGCTGGATGAATCAACAGTGTGCCCTTGTAGCTAAGAGAGCTAATGGCATATTAGGGTGCATTAGGAGGAGCATTGCCAGCTGATCCAGAGAAGTGATTATTCCCCTTTATTTGGCTTTGGTGAGGCCACATCTGGAGTATTGTGTCCAGTTCTGGGCCCCCCACTATAGAAAGGATGTGTACACATTGGAGAGCGTCCAGCAGAGGGCAACCAAAATGAGTAGGGGGCTGGAGCACATGACCTATGAGGAGAGACTGAGGGATTTGGGTTTGTTTAGTCTGCAGAAGAGAAGAGTGAAGGGGGATTTGATAGCAGCCTTCAACTTCCTGAAGGGAGGTTCCAAAGAGGACGGAGAAAGGCTGTTCTCAGTAGTGATGGATGGCAGAACAAGGAGCAATGGTCTCAGGTTACAGTGAGAGAGGTTTAGGTTGGATATTAGGAAAAACTATTTCACTAAGAGGGTAGTGAAGCACTGGAATGGGTTACCTAGGGAGGTGGTGGAATCTCTATCCCTAGAGGTTTTTAAGTCTCTGCTTGACAAAGCTCTGGCTGGGTTGATTTAGTTGAGATTGGTCCTGCCTTGGGCAGGGGGCTGGACTTCATTACTTCCTGAGGTCTCTTCCAGCTCTATGATTCTATGTGTTAGGGAGACTGATCCTGCTATAGTTGGCTCCCTAACTCTTACTCTTCTCACACCGTGTTGTTGCAATCTGGTCAAAAGTGAAAGTTTTGTTGCCAGTTTTGGAGTTCTGACTAATATTGGTTTAAGGAGGGTTTAAGCAGGATGATACCAACCTGGCCATAATTGTGGTAATCTTTCAAGTTACTTAACTTACTTGTTCACAACTGTGTTCAACTCACAAGTATACCAGCCATAGATGATAACCAACACATTTCTGTACTGTAAATTCATTCTCTTTTGATCTAGTTTCAATTGCTATTCTCACAATACATAAACACAACATCCTTCCAGCATCACACTATTTGTACTAGTAACATGTCTCTTACAAGAGAATATTTGCTTACCTGATGCTTTATCTCCACAAACAACACAATACTCTACTACTTGTGGTCGCTGGACATCAGTTTTACCCAATAAACGTTCTACTGAAGCAGAGTCTGTCACGATCTAAAAAAAAAAAAGCCAGAACAGTTACGGTGTTGCTTGTATATATCACATTAAATCAAGCACTAAAAACATTTCGTATTCAGATCAACTGATTTACTTATCATCGCTAACTCTTGTAGGTTAGTGCTTCCAGTTAAATACTCCTAGGATCTGTAGTTTATTTTGGTAGAATGTTTCCACTGTTTTTGTGCTGAATATAACGTAATTCATTTTGTTTCTTTTTTGGGTCTGCCTGTATTTTAAATGCCAAAATCATACCATTAAACACAGACACTAAACAAAAAATATGATTCAAAGCAGAAGGTTTTCAACTTTGAGGAATTTTTAACATGAAATGTCATTTACAATAAACTGTGCCTTTAAAAATGTATTTAAAAGAATTGTTATTTAGATATTTATGCACAGATGGCAATTTTCTCTCTTGTAAATCACTTTTACTTTTATTGTTAAATAACAGTTCTATCATAGGTTTCAGAGAGCTAGCCATATAAGTCTGTTTCAGCAAAAACAACAAGAAGTCCAGTAGCTCTTTAAAGATTAACATATTCTATCATATTGATAGCAACAGAGAATACATATTTATTTTAAAGAGGTGGATGTGAGTGTGTGGGAAAATGCTCCTACGTTAATAGAACAAGATTGATCTATGATTATTAATGTGCACTAAGGTAGCTCCCAGGAATCATGGGCCCCACTGAAATATATAGTGAAGACAGTCCCTGCCACAAAGAGCTTACATTCCAAGGCCTTGAGTTTGCATGGACTTAAATAACTTTGTCTATTGACTACAATAGAACTATTCACAGGCACCAAATTATGCATCTGCTTAAATCTTTGTAGGATAGGGACCTCATGCAACAAGGGGTGCTGATCACAGTGCAGGGGTAGGCAAAAAGGCCTCCATGGGTCAGATCCGGCTCACCAAGAGGGTGGATCAGGCCCGCGGAGGCCCTGCTGCTTCCTCGCCCCCAGAATTAGGGCCTTGGGGCGGGGGAGCATGCGAAGCCTTCTACACTCTGCCCCCGCCCTGCAAGCAGTGCGTAGCACTTCAAAGTGCTGCATGCTCCTGGCAAGGCAGGAAGGGGCTTTGCGCACTCCCCTTGTCCGCAGGCCCTAATTAGCCTGGGGGCGAGGGAGTGCGTGAACCCTCCTCACGCCCTGCTAGAAGCACGTGGTGCTTTGAAGCACCATGTACTGCTAACAGGGCAGGGGGTGGGGAGGGAGGAGGAGAGTGGAGGAGGCTTCGTGTGCTTGCCTGCCTCCAGGCCCTAATTGGTCTAGGGCCTTGAGTTTGCATTGGTCTAGGGGCAGGGGAGTGAGGGAACTCTCCTCCCATGCCAGGGGCATGGGCAACCTTGGAGATCGTGAGGTGGTGGCAAAGGTACTCCCTCACCCCCAGACCAATCATTGTCTCGGGCTGTGGAACCCAGAAATACCCTGGCCCTGCCCCTTCCGCTCGATGCCCCGCCACTTCCTGTGCAGCCCAGGGCCACTTCAAAAATTTCCGAAGTGGCCCCTGGCAAAAAAATATTGCCCACAACCTGTCATAGTGGAAAGGGTCAAGGGAGAGGAGGAAGACACAGATAACAGTAAAAGGACAAAAAGTTGTATAGATGAAGTGTTATAATTTTCTAATTTATTGATCTCTAACAGCCCACTTGCTTAGCCATTGCCACTAGGCAGTTCACTGTGGCATACTAAGTAGTAAACTGGAAAGTTAGCAATGCAAATGAACAAAATGATTATATAATTTTTTTTAAAATGTGTACATAGGAAGTTCAAAACTTTCATTTAGGGCTACTACACAATTAAATCTATTTAAATCAATAATCAAAGATGTATTGCCTGTTTTAAGTATTGTATTTACCTGAATTCTACCTGGCACAATGTTGTCGGTGGTGGTAAAGATAAGTTGTTTGGCATTAGATGTTTCAGGTGCTGCCAATATCACCTTCCCTGTTCCAGTTCCATCAGGACTGGCCAAGATAAATTGCTGCTTTGGAGACACTGATGAATCCACTGCTGTCACTATTTGAATTTTCTGTCCTGTTTGCTGATCTGTCACAATCTGAAACAAATGTTGAAGGATTTTATAAGGCATAATATAAAATGTAATATTCTAAAATCTTTGGTTCTTTCTCAGAATTATATCTTATTATCTGATAATGGCCCTTCACTACCTTGTAACTCACAGTCATTTATACTTGTGCAAAGTAGGTGTAAATGATAACCCAAAGTGCAAGGCTGTGGTATCAGGTTTTTATATATACACATAGTGTTTCGCAGAGAAGGGTGCTTTTGGAATGGGCATACTGGTGATATGAAAGGTGAGAAGGTAGCCGGATTATGGTAAATCACATTAAACAGGTCAAGAAAGAGTCTCTCTAATGTGTGATGCAAATAATATAAAATGACTACCAATGAAGTATAATGGCTACGGTTCTCATGGTCACCTAAATGAAAAATATCTAACATATTATACATGGCTATGCATGACCAAGCACATATCCAGTAAACACACACAAATCTAATCTGATATAATCACAAAGTTTCCTCACTTAAATAATTAAAAGTGAAAGTAAAAATACCCTGGAAAACTCTATGAGGTCAAATTCACCCATTCTGAAAAAGTGAAAGATATTAATAAACTGTGAAACTAGCCTCTGCTGATTAGTGCTAGAAACAGAGAGGCAAGATGGGTGAGGTAATATTTTTTTATTGGACCAACTTTTTGCTGATGAGAGAGATTAGTTTATGAACAGAAAGAGCTTTTCTTTGGGTTGGAGGAAGTACTCCAAGGCATGTCTACACTAGTGAGAAGAGCGACCCTCGAGAGGTCGATCTTCTAGTGTTTGTTTTAGCAGATCTAATGTAGACCCCTAAATTGAATGCTGAGGGCAGCCCCTGCTGACATCTGGTACTCCTCGTTCTGCAAGGAGTAAGGCAAGCCAATGGGAATGTGTGCTTCCATCGCCTCCCGCTGTGTGGATACTGCCACAGCTCAGCTTAAAGGTAAGCCAACCCCAGCTACACATTTTGTGTAGCTGGAGTTGTGTACTTTAAACTGACCTGCCTGGTCTAATATAGATCAGGCCCAATTGTCACAGCAAAAGGCAAGATGGAACAGATTGTTTAGCTCAAGCTGTTAGCAAATTAAGGAACCATGTGGTAGAGAGGTCTGTTAACACCTCAGCAGTCATAGGACAAAAAGAAGAGGTCAGTGAGCTATAAATTGTTGTAATAGGCTATAAATCCAGAGTTTCTGTTCAGTCCATCATTTTTAGTGTCTAGAAGAGTTAAGCTCCCAAGCTTGTCTTTTGGTGTTGTGCACACAATACTAGAGACAGGTAATTCCCATGACTGCAGCTTAGGTTTCTTTTATTTGATTACAAATAAATTTATATTTTCAAAACTATTTTTGGTTTGTCGTTAACTTAAAGTTAGGATGCGGATGCTAATCTGACCACTATTCATATCAAATAAACACATCATCATCATCATCATTTTGTAAAAAAAATCTAAGCATTAAAAAATATGGAACAGCCAATTATGATAATTAAGGAGCTTAACAGACAAAGGGTCTCTGGGCTACTTTTCTCCTCCACAGAGCTCTCACTGGCTATTACAATGGTTTATATTGAAAATCTTAGCTGACAGCATAATTGCTAACACTGACAGCATGAAGCCACACTGAAATCTTATCGATGGGGCTAAGATTGATATGTTCATGATACTTCCTGTAAATTTTCTACAAAGATGGGAATTGTTTTTTTTCCATTGCAGTACTTTCCTTCAGCATGGACTGATAGTTCCTTTAGAAGCAGTAGAGATACAAGGAACAAGATTAATTGTTATGCCCAAGTGGGCCAAAACTAGAGTTACGTTGAATGGATCTACACTATAAACTTCAGAATGTCTTTCTATTTTTTACTCATACATGCTGAGGAAATATAAATGTTATAATGAAGAGGCAAGATATATGTTAATATTGTGGCTCTGCTAGATAAAAAAGGTTTTGTGCTATTGTTAATTATTCAGAAATATGTCTCCAAAGAGAATCATCCCATAGTGATAGACTTTAGAGAGTAAGACAGTGAAGAGGCATAAACTCAGGTGAAACACACACAGACACACACAAAGCTGTCAGTGCTGGTATACTAATGACAATCATAGATGCACAAAAATGTAGGGCTGGAACGGAGTTTGAAAAATCCTCAAGTACTACTCCCTGCTCTGGAGCAGGACCAAGTAAACTGAGACCATCCTGACCTAGTCTAGGTGTTTGCCGAGTCTATTCTGAAAAACTTCCAAAAATTCCACAACCTCTCCTGGAAACGTATTCCAGACCTTAACTACCTTTATACTTGGGAAAGTTTTTCCTAATATCTAAACTTAATTTCCATTGCTACAAATAAAATCCATTTTTTCTTGTTTTACCATCAGTGGACATGGAGAACAAATAATCACAATACTTTTTATAAGAGCCTTTAATACATTTGAAGTCTGTTATCAGGTCCCCCCATTGCCTTCTTTTCTCAAGACTAAATAATTACCATTTTTAAATGTTACAAACAGGTGAGGTTTTCTAAACTTTTTATCAGTTTTGTTGCTCTCCTCTAGATTGTCTCAAATTTGTCCATGTCTTCCCTAAAATGTGGCACTTATAATTGGACACGGTACTATAGCTGAGCCCTTATCCGTGCTGAGGAATGGAATAATTATCTTCACTGTTTTACATAAAACACTTGTTTTCAGAATATAAGCCTTTTTCTTAAGTGCATCACATTATTGTCTTATATTCAATTTCGGAACCACTATAACTTTTAGCTCCTTTTCATCAGTATTACTTCCTGTCTTGTTATTCCTCATTTTGTAGTTGTGCATTTGAGTTTTCCTTCCCAACTGAAGTAATTTGCACGGTCTTTATTGAATTTCATCTTGCTGAATGCATACCAATTCTCCAATCTGTAAAGGTCATTTTATCTGCTGCATTAAAAATAAGAGCTTGCTATATTTTCGAGACAAAGAAATAAAAAAGGGTAACAGCTGCATCATGTTTGCTTTTATAATAAGGAAACCACTGACTAAGTTATTTAAACTAAAGGATTTTACCTGAATGCGCTGTGGTGAAGCTACAGAAGAGTCTGTAGAGATAATTTGGATGCGTTGAGAGGGGCTGGTCATCACTGGAGATTCAGATAATGATGTCTGAACAGTCTGCACCTGTAAACAACAAAATAGAAATTTCACTTCAGGTATTGTTATAACATAGTGGACATTTTTTATCTTAAACACTATAGAATTCCATCATGTATTATAGACTTCTCAGAAAAGATTTCAGTAGGTAAACACATTACAACAAAATAATCACTGTATAAATAGACTTGGCAGAATTCAAAGTTTATTGTTCATTTTTATGATTTTTGAGGGATAATATTAATCCTTATTTTAATATAGTTTTCTATTTTTATCTTCTTCAATCTTTACAATTCTGCAAAATTATGGATATTAAGCATTTTTTTTCAATTTATATCTATTTAAATTTTCCACAGTTACAAAAATTATGGGCAGGTTAGACAATTATTTAATGACAACAGACGTTAATAGTCAGAAATTTAAAGCTTTATAACCACTAAAACACAAATTGTCCTCATCATATGTCAAAACATACAATGTAAAATACCCTTAAAACAAACTATTAAATTGTCAAGCATAATATTTCCTATTTTGTCAGGAAGTTTCTATTTATATCAATTGAAATATTTGGTGTGTATGTGAATGGGGGTGAAAACAATGTTTACTCACAGCTACCAGTAAAAATCCAATCATTTGAAGCCTAGGTATAGTATTACTTTGATCATCCTATCAGAAGAGGCATACAATTTATAGTGTGATCACTATTACTGATGTGAAAAAATATACCTTTTTTCAATTTCCAATTATTTACTTGATAAATCTTTTTTCATTTCATGTTAAAATAAAGCTTTTAGACATATAAGTAATAATATTTTGTACTAAGATATCTTCTTTCATCTGAGGATCTTAAAATATTTTAGTCAAATGAAATCCAAAATGTTTAGATTTGTGTGCCTGACTTTCCCATTGATTTCAATGGAAATGAATGAATGCTGAGCATCTAATAAAGACTTTTAGTTTGGTGTCTGACTATGCATTTAATGCTTAATTTTAGGCAATCAAGTTTGAAAGTATCAACTATGATCCTACAAAAGCCCTTCAGATACAGGCAAGTATGGTTACTCTTATTTTACAGTTGTGTATCTTAGGTGACATTCCACTCCAGCGTAGACCAGGTCTCAAAGAGGGTTTCACAGATAGAACTGAGTGTAAAATTGGGGCTTGCAATTGGAATTCAGTTAACAAATCTGTTGGTGTGCAAAAACAAACAGATACCATCTCTCTTACAATAACTTTCTGTATTGGCCCTGCAGAACTAACAGGTATAAAATGTAGCATATCTTTATTTCTGTCATTTTAGTAAGCAGACCCGATCCTGGATACATGCAAAAAGCAAATCAATTTCCTAACAAGTGCTATTTTTACAGTTAATTTTCAGAGCAGAAATTGATTGTAAATAGTTGTTTGGGTTGAAGGATTCCTGATGGATGCTTAGTAAATTCAGCTGTCTCCATCCCTGGAAGATCCTGGATAAATTGGAATCAGACGCTGAATTCTGTGACCTTTACAAGGTTATACAGGAGTTAAGGTGTTAGTTACAGAATGTCCCATGGAAAATTTTTTGAGTGTGAAGGCTTTATCTGAAGTAAGAGTGAATGAAAAATGTTGGTTTGACAATCTTGAAAACTATTAATCCACAGAATTGATACAACACAGGCAATATACATTTGCACATGTACAACTTAGTTAGTTGTGATTAAACTCCAACTACAGGAAACTTCAATCTCCATGTCCTATTCAGTCTTCACCTTTGTTGATGCAACTACCAACAAGAGAAATCAATTAGTACTGATTTTGATCATTGGTTATTTTAGGTACCATTTTCTCACTAGAAAACAGACTAAAGCCTCCAAATGGATTTCACAAGGTTCACTGAGGCTATGTCTAGACTAAAAAAGCATCTTTTGAAAGAGAGCATTTAGACTACAAGCAGATTTTTTCGAAAAAGAGAACCGCTTTTTTGAAAGAGAGTCTAGATGCTCTCTTTTGAAAAAGCACAGTTTGCATTCAATAGTGTCTTTTTTTCCAAAGAGAACTTTCGAAAAAAGGTGTTATTCCTCATAAAATTAGGTTTACCGCAACCAAAAAAACTGCTACGTTCTTTCAATTTACTTTTGAAAGACCTCGGCTGCAGTCTAGACGCAGGTGAAGCTTTTTCGAAAAAAGGTTACTTTTTTTGAAAAAAACCCTGCAGTCTAGACATACCCTAAGAGAAATGATCAGTCACAATCTACTATATATGAGAGAGTTTGTCTGTATCTCTGTGTTTGTTCAAGACCTCATCCTAAGTGGTGAAAGCTAAGAGCACAAAATTTGGTATGCAGCTTCCTCTTATCATAACTTAAAAGCAAGGCAAGGATTTAGTTGTGCCAAGTGAATGGGATGTGCCTGGAATGGGATTGCTTCTCATAAAACCATACAGAAAAGAGACAGAATCACCAGGCAGGTGAAAGGGTGTGGTTGGGGGTGTGCCCTACAACATACCAGTACTGCCACACCCCTGAGCTTCCTCAGGTGCCCTTTAGTGATGGGGGGGAGGCTGAACACTCTCCCCCCCCCCAATTTGTACAGGAACATTGCTGGCTGTTCCCCTTCATCAGGGAATGAGAGGAAAGTACAAAATTTGCTTCATTCCTCATTCTGCCTGGGTGGTGCGGGGGAAGACAAATCTGAACCTGCCCCAGTTGGGGAACATGCAACCTTCCCCCAGCTGTGCCTACTTGAGCTAGAGTGGTCATGGAGAGATGCTTCTCATCTGGCCCTGAGCTGCTACCCTCTCTTGCTAGGGCAGCCTGTATACTGAACCCCTCATCACCAGCCCCATCCCAGAACAATGATTTAAATGAACCATGTACATTTTCATTTTATTTTCCAATAACAATAATGTTAAGGACCTGAACAATGCCAGGTAAATCTTCTAGGGCAATTTATAAATTAAAGGTATTGTATGCCATTAATAGTCCCCAGAGCCATCCAACACTCTGTTTTTGTTAAGCTCAGCTTCAGTTTGAAGGCCCACCAAAGCCTTCTAAAAACCATCGTACTTAGTCTTACTTGGCTCATTCCTATCTAAATATGAGCAAGACCTAGTACAGTGGTCACCAACCAGTAGCTCGGGATCTACTGGTAGATCTTGGAGCCTCTGACAGGGGATCCTGACTGGTTTGACCAAGAGGCTATCAAGTGCTGGCACTCCAGCTGCCCCTCCCCCCACAGTTGTGCATTTCCTGCCCTTTGCCTTGGAATTGTCCCCTCAGGAGCCTCCTGCTTTCTGTGCAGGGCAGGTGAGGGAGAAGAGGGGTGCTGATGTCAAGGGATATCTGTATCCTACCTCCAGGACTTGGGATGGAGTTTGCTGGCTGCTTTTGGAAGTGGTGCAGGGCCAGGACAGGAGTGAGCCTGTCTTAGCCCCCTGCACCCAGGAGTCACTTGAGGTAAGCAGTGCCCAGCTGGTGCCCACATCCTGGAACCCTACCCCAGTCATGAACCCTCTCTTGCACCTCTAGCCCCGAGCAGCTCTGCATCCAAATGCCCTCTCAGAGCCTGCACCTAGAACCCCCTCTAATACCCCAACTGCCTGCTCCAAGCTCAGCTCAGAGCCCCTGTCTCACTCCAAATCCCTTAGTGCAAGACCAGAGCCTGCACCCTAACCCACTGCCCCTGACTGGTCAAAGTGAGGGAGGGAGGATGGAGTGAGCAGGGGTGGGGGCCTTGGAGAAGGGGCACGAAGGAGGTGGGGCAAGCGGATTTGGGGTTGAGGTAGATCTTGGATTTCACTTAAATGCAAAAACTGATCTTGTGCGTATAAAGGTTGGAGACCACTGACCTAGTATATGATTCCTCACTATATGAAAGATGCAGTAGAAATATTTTCAAGCCTATCTGTGTCTAAGCCCAAATAAAATTCACAGCCATTGTATATATAATCTCCCTGGAAACCAGGAGGTGTCTTTGTGTGTATATATAAATATTTCAGGACCTTATTCTACAAATCTTCCACACACAAAAATGCCATCTGAAGTCAACAGGAATATTTCCACAGTTTCACACTGGAGTTCTTTCAGAACACTTGGGTGAATGCCATCTGGTAACAGGTGACTCGTTACTTTAAATTTATCAATTTATTCCAAAACCTCCCCTAATGATACCTCAATCTGGGACAGTTCCTCAAATTTCTCACCTAAAAGGAAATCCTCAGGTTTGGGAATCTCCCTAATATTGTCAGCCATAGAGACAAAAGCAAAGAATGTATTTAGTTTCTCTGCAATGACCTTATCATCTTTGAGTGCTCCTTTAGCGTCTCAATTGTTCAAGGGTCCCACTGATTGTTTAACAGACTTCCTGCTTCTGCTGTACTTAAAACATTTTGCTATTACTTTTTGAGTTTTTGGCTAGCTTTTCTTCAAACTCCTTTTTTGGCTTTCCTTATATTTTTACACTTAATTTGCAAAATTTATGCTCTTTTCTATTTTCATCACTGGGATTTAACTTCCACTTTTTAAACAAAGCCTTTTTATTGGTCACTACTTCTTTTACTTGGTTATTAAGCCACGCTAGCACTTTTTTGTTTTTTAAATTTGGGGTATACATTTAAGTTGGTCCTCTATTATGATGTCTTTGAAAAGTTTCCATGCAGTTGTAGGGATTTTACTTTTGTCACTGTACCTTTTACAGTAAACTTCCGATAATCCGGCACCTTTAGGACCCAGGGGTTGCCGGATTATCAGATATGACGGACTATCGGAAGGGGGGCTATGAGGGGTCTGGGGTGGGGGGACCAGACTCCTCATAGCCCCCCCCTTCCGATAGTCTGGCTCTGCCCCAGGCGTCCCCGATTCAGGCGCCGCTGGGC